ACTATGAATGTACTGCACTAGACCTTGTGTATTTATAGGTAAAACAAAGAGTGGGTCAAATGATGGATCTTCAATTTCTTGAGGATCCGCTTATCCTTGATATTGTTCCTTTACATGTGATACTAATATTTCTACTAGTTTCACTTATATATTATCATGTTGAATTTCCAATCATGGTTCTCTTGTTTGTTCACTTAGAGATATATCTATCCCCTCTTGAACAATCAAGGGAACGGTGGATGAAGCTTCTAGAGATTCTGGAAATTCTTGATCTGAGATAAATCTCATCAAGAATAACCTAACTTAAGAGCTTATAATTTCTTATCTAGTCCTCCTTTAAGAAAATCATATGAGTGCTCACTTAGATTATCTTGTCCTTAAGACTGAAAAAGAAATCATCCCTAGTTCTCTTAGGGTAGCCAAAAGATATGCACTCTTCCATACAAGATTCCATCTCATTTGACTGCTGTTGTAGGACGTGTGCCGTAGCACCCTAAATCCGAATATGGTTTGATTTGGGCTTGCACCCCTTCCATAATTCTTTAGGTGTCTTTACAAGAAACTTTGACGGAACCAAGTTAAGAAGGTAGATTTCTTTCTCTTAGGCATCTCCCTTGAACAACGTTGACAAAGATGAATAACTGAACATGATATTCACCAAGTCTAGAAATGTTTGATTTTCACATACTGCAACTTCATTCAACTAACGCATTCTTAGAGTTGACAGTTACAAAAACTATCCCCTCTTAAATCAGGTAAGACTTGAACTTACCAGACAGGTAGCCAACACTTTAGTCAGACCAAAGTGTTTTTGATTTGAACACCTACATGCTTTTCTGCCTCAGACTAAACCTCTTAGAGTTTCCAAAAGCTTTAGACTTATGGCGCATTTGGTTCATCTGTCCAAATCCAGAGTAAACATTCATATAATGAAGTACTCATCACCTCTTCTGGTCTGAACACTAATTGGTCCACATACATTAGTATGTACCAGTTCCAGTTGAATAGTTGCACAAACCTTTTTGGCCCTTGTAGGATTGCTTGGCCATTTTACCTTCCAAATAGGACTAACATGTAGCTGTTAGTTAAAAGATTCTTGAACTTTCAGTCTCTCTTTTAACCAAAACATATTTTCTACTTGAGATAATGTGACTCAATCACAAAGGCCAAAGTTATGTTTCATTTGAAACTTTTATTTCTTTGGTGAAAATCCTTGTTCATCATCCTTTCCATTCAACACAAAAATTTAGGGGGTATAAGACAAAGGTAATAAAGACTATTTAAACAATGTACCAGAAAAAAACAAGACGAAGATGAACTTCGAAATGTAACTGAGGAATCAATTGCATTGTCAACCATGTTTTAACCAAAACAACTAACAAAAATTGAATTCCTCTTGAAATCCGGAACAAATAAACAGTCACCCAAAACCATAGTCATTAAATAACTTGTCTTACTGCAAATGCAGACACAAGTTCCCATCTTCAAGCTTAAAATATCTATGTCCATTGCTGACAGGTATGCCATGTTTGAACTACTACAAAGAGTAACAAACATAATCAGTGATTCCTGAATCAATAATTCATCACTGATCAGGCCTTGATATGCCCATGTCAGGTTCTTTTCATCACCTCTGGGTAATTTTTCTTTCAGTATCCCTTCAGTCTGCACTTGAAGAGCTTGCCTTGCGGCTTCTTCATAGCAACTGGTTTGACAACTGATAACCAAGTCATTTTGTTCTTGTTACCACCCTTGGGTTTCCCTTTGAATTTAACAAGACTCTTAGCAAAACCTGCACCGACTGCATTCTGTCTAGAAGAGCTGCATTCTGACAATAATATAGCAGCGAACTACCATATCTGCCCTTTCCCAATATGAGAAATGCATCTTAGTTTCCTTAGACGCATTCTCTGCAGGTTGTTATGGCCCTCGCATTGTCAGGACAAATTTTAGCTTCCATGTTTTAGAACAATATCAAAGATTTGCTTTTCACTTATTCATAGTTGGTACCATCTAGAGGTTTTCGACTCAATCATTTCTAAGATATTTTCTGAAAAACATATAAAGCACACAATTACAAACAAATAATGCAATAAACAAACGAAGTGCAAGTAGATTCTCATAACTACTCTTGTTTATTGTTAACAATCTTTCAGTTTATCTTTACAAGGCTTACGATGGGCAAGTCACTTGTAAAAATCAAAATTGTTATTTGGGCCTTCAGTGTCATTGCCAGAGCCTCGATGGGAGGGTTAACAATTTTACCAAAGTTGAATGCAATTAACCATTGTTTAATTTCAAAATTATCCTCAGTGTCTAAGCATTGCCGACGATGGGTCGTACAATACTTTACTAAAATTTTGAAATTATTAAGATTTAATCTAGTGAAATCTGATTATCCTTATCCGATGGGGCTTCAACGATAACCATTTCACTAATAAACCCACAAATGGAGCCCGCAGGTTTTAAAATTAATTAATTTTTAAAACCTTCACTCATTCAACATTTTTGTTTGAGAATTTTCATAAGCCCTATCGAATTCATTGTTTAATTTCAAAATTATCTTTAATAACTTAGTATTATCGACGATGAGTCGTACAATACTTTATTAAAATTTTGAAATTATTAAGGCCCAATAAAATCCAATCATGCTTATCCGTCGGGGCCTCACATGATTATTTTATTGATAGGCCCACAATGCACCTGGAGGTTAAATTAATTTCTTAATTTAAATCTCCTCCCATAGATATTTAAGTCCAATCTAATAAAATTCAATCATGCTTATTCGATGGGACTTCACATGATTATTTTATTAATGGTCCTATCGCTTGAAGGTTAAATTAATCTCTTAATTTAAATCTCCTTCCATTCAACATAAGCAACATTTTCTAATTTTCAAGAATTATTTAATTGAGAGTATCCTTTGTTTGATTTTAAAAACTATATAAGTAAGAGCGCCGATAAACGTGCACTAAGCTTAACATAATTTTGAAAGCATTAAGGTCCTGAAATCCGGTCACTTTACGTCAGCGTGTGCACCAAACAATCATGATACATGAATGTTGTATGCAGCATGTGTTATTCTATGACCATTTCAGAAAACCCACAAATTACTCGCAAAATAAAAGAATTCTCTTAGGAAATTTTCTCTAATTATTTTTCTAGATTTAAATCATCCAAATAGCTGACTTAATTATTAATCTAGATTGCAACAATCATAATAATTATCATTTATGAGGATAATTTGAAATCAAAATAATTTCCATAACGATTATTTTTCTTGATGTTAATTATCCAAAATTAATTAATTCAATTATTAATCTAGATTTTTAATAAAAATCATAATAATTATTAATTAATTTCTTAGGATGATTTAAAATCAAAATAATCTCATAATAACTATCATACTAGTCGCTGAAGACATAATAGCTATTATGCTCACGCAATCATACAATTTATGCAAAAATATGGCACCACCTATTCTATATGGCATGTTATCGCAATAAAGCATGTTATCAATCATATAATTTATACCAATCAATAAAAGCATTAAATAATAAATCATAATTACTTTAATCCATGGCCTTCCTATTTTAAAGAAAATAAAATAAAATTAAATTAAATAATACAACTTTGGAATTCGACTTTCGTCTAGCCCATAGTATCTGTCTCAAGCCCCTTTAGGGTTTCCATGGACCCAAAAGCCCAAAGACCCAATCCTTTGGCGAGAAACCCTAGGACGCGAAAGAGGAACCCTAGCCGTCAGGTCTGCCGCGCCGTCACCCGAACTCAACTCAGGCCGAAACTCCAGGGGAAGGACCGCCACATAGAGATGAGTGCACCGCTGCCGGAACCACCCAAAATGGTGGCCGGACGCTCCCTCACTCTCCCATTCTTTGCCGGAGAGTGGCGATCACAACCATGGTTGAATGGCTAGTTGTGTCGGTAGAAGCGTTCCCACTCTCATTTGTAGAGTTGCAAAATAACTGAAGATCCACAACAGCAGAGTTCAGAGCAGTAATATCTTGCTTAATAACACCCGTAAGCTCTTGGATTTCCATGGTGGGATCGTAAAAAATCTTATGTTTTATTTTGTAATTTGTTATTATTATTAGTGCATGATCCGTGCGATACACGGAGAAAATAAAAACGATCGATTTATTAAAAAATAAAATAAAATCAAGAAGCGATTGTATATCATTATATTCTAAAAGATATGTTTATAAGAGGACGCACAAGCCATTAATCCTTTCACAATCAAAAACCAATGATGTATGTGTATTAAATTTTAGTATTTATACACACAAAAAGGGTTTTTATACTTCATTTTAGATTACTTTTTTTTATGTGTGTGTGACATATATTAGATGACAATTTTAAAAAGATTTGAGATACCACATTTAATGCGACAACAAACGTTTATTAGTTTAATTGCCTACATATCTGAGATACATATATTTAATACATCATATTTAATTCCAATAAGATTAGTTTATATGCTTGTTTATTTTCATTTATCACAACAGTAAATTCAAATATCAGCAACACCAGAAGTTTTTGTTAGACCAAAAAAAAATGTTGGCGGAAGGTGTTGTTGGCTGTTGTTGGTTAATCATGGCACCGATAATTATCCATATTACCTGAAACAGTCAGAAATAATTTTGTTTAAATGTGTTTCATGACTTAGTATGACAGCGTACAAAACATAGTTACAAAAAGAAATATTCATAAAATTAATCTGCATTGAAAATGAACAGTAGAATAATATCGACACATTGCATAACATTCTTGTAATTTATAGGGATTTATATTTTATTTTGTAATTTATTATTATTTTCTTATTAAGAAAATTACCAATTTCATTATTTATGAAATAAACCAAACCGATACCTTGAAATATTTTTCGGGTCACCCTCCCATTATAAATAGAAGAAAAATAAAAAAAAAGACTGACACTCACTCACTTTTAACCCTAATTTTCAAAATTTTCAAGAAGGGAATAAAAAACTGGAAGTGCTAGGTTTTGTGTATCTCATTCTATGTAATCCCATATTAGGCTTAGAGATCTCCACATGAAAATCTGATTAAATTCTTAATGCTTTCTTTGTCAACAAGGAGCATGAAGAATAAGCAAATGTTAGGCCTCACTCCCACACTCCCTCACGAGTTAATAGAAGAAATTCTGTTGAGGTTGCCGGTGAGATCTCTGTTGCTTTTCAAATGTGTGTGTAAGTCATGGCTCACTCTTATCTCGGATCCCCAATTTGCAAAAACCCATTTTGACCTAGCTGCCGCACCCATCCACTGTTATCTTGTTGAATCACAGCATGGTTCTTTATTTGGATCTATAGATATAGAGCCATCAGTTTACGAAGATTGTGCTCTAATATACTTCTGTTATTCACATCCATCATCCCCTTCCCATAATAATTGTTATTCTTATAATAATTTTCAAATTTTGGGTTCTTGTCGTGGGTTTGTACTATTAAGGTATGTCAATGCTGATTATCTTACTGTATGGAATCCATCTACCGGTGCACAGAAACCAATATCATGTTCTCATTATCACTCATTGATCAAAATTCTATATGGTCTTGGGTATGATGCATCAACGGATGACTACTTGGTAATTATTATTATGGTACCTCTCGGTCAATATAGTTCAGAAACTCATTTCATGTTTTTCTCCATGAAAACCAATTCTTGGAACAAAGTTGAGGGTATTGATTTTCCATATCTGACTGGCGGGGAGAACTACAGTGCTGGGTTACTCTTGAATGGAGCTCTTCATTGGTTGGCTTTCTCTGCTGCTGCTGATGATGATGATGATGATACCAATGATGATACCGAGGTTGCTATGATTATTGCCTTTGATTTGACAGAAAGGAGTTTATCTGTGATTCCTTTACCATGTCTTACCGGAGAATCGTTTCTTGAAATTGGTTGTCATTTGATGGTAATAGGAGGATGTCTCAGTCTGTGTTACCCAGCTACAAAGGTTTGCTGGGTGATGAAAGAATATAAAGTGAACTCATCTTGGACTAAGGCCACTTATTACAATGATTGCAACTACGAAGGTGGTGTAATTATTGGATCAGATGCCGTTGGAAACCTAATGAAACTTAATGACAACAGAGAGCTAGTTGTGCATTCCAAAAATAGCTTTTACATAGAGAGTCTACTACAGTTTGCTATGTATAGAGAAAGTCTATTATCACTTCCCAGTGACTTTGGGAAAGCAAGTGAAGACGACGAACACTGACAGACAAGAAGAATTAGGGCAGGTAATGTTCTCCATTCCTTTAGAACTTTTTATTCCTATTTATCTTGCATTATGAAAAATGAAAAGTTATATACAAAATGCATGATATGCATGAAAATGATACCTTATTATATCTTGTGCTCTCCCCTTCCTAGCTAATAATATTTCGTTTTTGTCAAAAAAAATAAAATAATGAGACATGAAATCACAACAAAAAAGATAAGGTATGGTTGTGGATTGAATTCACCCGTGGTTGGGGAAAATATTTACCGCGTTGCTTATTTAGAATAATTAAAGGCAAATTGAGTGGAAAATTTTATAAGAGAAACAGCTAATGTTTGTAGTAAAACAACTAGGATTTCGAGTGAGATTTTACAATAGCAGTTTTAAAGCTAAAATCTTATACAACGTATATGATGCCATTTACGTTTGGCTCATGTTTCCTGCAGGCCACGAAGTATGCAAGAATATTTGATACGGTTTTGCAAATATACAAGGGTTGGCTGCTGCATAAAGTATTGTCCTTACTCCACCCTCAGTGGTTGGGATTTAATAGGGAGTGGTTTTTTTTTTACCTTGATATCCTAGTTTTCCTTCAAATGATGATACTGCTGGCAGAAAGCGTAGCATTTGGAAGAGAATGTCATATATTTAATATTAAATACTCTCGTGTCAGTGCAGAATTAGCGTATGTTTTTGTGGTGTTTTCAGTAAGGTTGGAGTGTAAACATACTTTAGAATTTAATTATGTTTCAAAGTTGGAGTTAGTACATGCTATTTAACATCTTAATGTTTTTTCTCTCTCAATGTTGTTATTTATATGTTTGCCGTTTGTTTGTCTTACCCTCTTTTACAAGGTTTTTAGGTTCAGGCCCCTTATTTTTCCGTATTTTAGATGCCTTTTCTTCAAAAACAATTCCTGATTTTTGTTAGTTATGTTGTTGCTCGTTTTGACATGAAGTTATGGAGACGTGATATTCATCTAGAAAAATTGTTGATCTCAATCATCTAGGAGCTAATAGGAGGGATGGGGTGAAAGGGTTGAAACTAATCAAGTTGTGATATGAGTTCTTCTTGCATGTCATTGGTTTAAATTGTTCATCATACTAATCTAGTGTCATATACTGATCTAGTGTCATAATGTTTCGGTCATATTTTCATGATACCCCTAAAGATACTTTGATTGCCTATGGCAAGGATGGTGCTACGGACGTACAAATTAGAGCTTCAGCAGAACTAGTCTAATATTTCCCTTCATATTTTCTATTCCTTTGTCAAGATCATATTTAGCTGCGTAATCTATGATCATAAGATAGATTCAGTTAGATCCATAATCTTTTGCGAGCACGTTTCACAGTCTGCAAACTTGTTTTTTACATTTGGATTTCTTCATACGAAATAAATGTGATTGGAAGTGCAATTCATGGAAGGAAACTCTGGGATCCCGTATTCCCTGAATTGCTCTTTAACATTTGTTGGCTTACCTGTCATTATGAATTACATAAAAGAATTATTGCCTTTGATTTGGTAGAAAGGAATTTATGTGAGATACCTCTGCAATATGGGGTTTTCAATGACTTTACATTTTGTAATTTGAGAATGATGGGAGGATGTTTCAGTGTAAGTTTATTATTGGGGATTAAGTAAAACTCAGGTGTGGATGATGAAAAATATAAAATGCAGTCATCTTGGACACTATAACAGACCTTAGGGTAAAAAATAAAAGATCCCCATGGTTTCCAGAGTTTGTGAGCAAGGAAACTTTTTTGAGTTTGGTAGTTAGTAGCATTTAATCTTGTTAAGGGTAATAATCGAAACATTTAGTGTTGTGTGGATCATGTTATGCGAATTATATTATTTTGGTTTAATAGCTAGTAACATTTGATTCCGTTAAGAATAATCAATTGAAACATTTACAATCCTGCGAGTCATGTTAAGCTGAGTTACCATTTAATTTTGGAGTCCATTGGTCATGCCGTTAGTTGTTCCTAGGAGTTTGTTTGGAGTATTGAAATTCCTTACAAGAATAAGATTGCGGTAGTTGTCAAACAAACAATATTCAGCCCACTCGGAACAAAAAAAATAAAAATTATACATTCAGATATTCAAGTTGTTTTATATTTGTACATTCACGTCATATAAAAAACATTTCAAGATATATTATCATCCATTCTAAATATAGTAAATCATGTTAATAAATTACGAATGCAGAAAATATTTAACGAGTAATATTGCAATACTATATATAATCTGATTCTACTTTATTCTGATTTTCCGATGATCAGCTCGAGAACACATTACCAAGCCATTGCTTTTCTTTGCTCCCAAATCCCAACATCGATATGCATAACAAATATTTTAAAAAAAGCCTCCACTGTAAAATAATCAACATAAATTACGAAAGGATAAATGGACCGAATGTAATACACAGTTCTTAACCTCGTTATATGTACCAATAAGTACAAATATAAAATTTGACAAACATGGTACTACGCAAAACTCTGGAGGAATGAATATATATTTGGAGAAAGAAATATTAATGAAACGCAGAAGACTCATCACCGGTAAGAAGGCCGTCACTGGTGTCCACGTTTTCATTTCTCTGTCATTGGCATGACTATGCCACAAAAAATAAGAAAACCATAAGGAAAAATATTAATACAAAGAAAATCTTGATCATTAGCCACCTATTAGAAGATATGCTGTTCAGATACTTCAACAGAGCCCCTTGTGCCCCCTCTACATTTGCCAATGAATCATCCATGTTTTCATCAATCCTGCAAATTAAGGACCTCTATCAAATCCACCAATGTCTCAATTGGCCAATATGAAAACAAAAGTCAAGCAAAAATCAATTCGCCTTATCAGCAATCAAATATGCAAATGCAATCATTCACGTAGTTTTAAACTAATGCAGTAACTGTTCATAAGGTTACCATGACACAAACTATTCATTTTTTCATCAAAGCCACTTACACCTTAATCTCTGAGTTCACCGTATACTTTAGAGGAGGCTAAATTCTTCCGCAATTCATTTCTCCACTCAGTAAACAGCAAAAAAAGCAATTTAACAGCATGGCATCCACAACCTTATAGTCAACAAACAGAAAAAACCCAATCTTCTCCAACATATGAGCAATCTTATCCATATACAATGTACTTCATAAAATTTGCCCAGTCCTTTATAGGAGCTAAGTTCTTATGCAAGCCAATCTCTCAGCTTACTAAGCAGCAAAACAAGCAATTCAAACATTATGGCATCCACAAGGACCACTAAATCATAGTCAATATACAGTAAATGAGTAAACAACCAAATCATTTCCCACAGACAACCAAAAACCAAAGCGATTTTTTGCTACACATACTACAAGCTTATTAAAGTCAAGGCCCAAATTTATCTCACAGTCAATATAACTGGCATAAGCTCATTTGGCAACAGAATTACTAATGAATCAAGTAAGCTTGTATCAATTAGTAACATACATCCCATTCGTATTGGAATGCAGAAATAAAGGACAACATGGATGATCTATATGGCACAAAAGTGAGACATATAAAAACCTGATGGCAATCTCTCCTTGTTGGGAAACAAGTGTTGCTAGCTGATTAAAGATGTTGCTGAGCTCATGAATAGTGGACTCAACATTCTGAAGAGCTTCAGCTCTGCTTTGCATGTAATTATCTTGCAATGGAACCATCTGCTGCTGCTGCAGCTGCTGTTGTTGCAGCAATGGTTGACTCTCCCCGTCCACCTGCTTCCTGTGGATTTAAAGGTCACGAAAAAATAAAATAAAATTGTATGAAACCATAGTTTCAAATATAATCCGACTTAACCAGGAAACAACCTTAAAATATTGGGAGCACAACAAAAGTTTTTATTATTACTTAGAAAAGGATCCAAATCACGACATATAACTACAGTTCTGAATTAGGGCAGACAGGAAAATTTTGTGGGCCACACCCAATATTTCAAATCCTAATCTCCCATCCCTTTGTTGGGCCAGGCCAGGTTAGTCCAACAAAGGAAAAAAGATAGAATGGACCACAGCAATTTTTACAAGTATTTTGAGCCAGCCTATTTTAACCACCATTTCTCCTAGCCGGTTGAAGTTTCTGCTAGAATATCTAGATAATATCTCATATTATCATTATTAATTTTGGAACATCTTAATGTTTCTTTGATGATCTCTAAGGAATGGTTTCTATACTTTATTATAATTGTTGATTTGTTTCCTTCTTTGGTTTGATTCTAGCATTAGTATAAATAAGAGTTTCTGCTTTATATTCTGTAACATATCACATCACATTATACAAAATAGAAAATAATCTAATATCTTTTATTTTCTCTTTTTTCCTTCTTTCCCAACCTAAACCCTTATAATTTCAACAGTTAATTGGCGGCACAGTTTTCCCAAGTCTGAACAGGCCATGTTTGACAGGTCTACTTGTAAATGCAAGCAATTGAAGTCCCAAAACTAAATTAAACGAATGAATTAATTCAGTAAAGTTTGTGAGCTAGTGCTCGTGCAAGGTGATGTCAAAATACTATCACAACAGAGGGGAAAAACCAAAACTCATGATATGAAATTAATATTGGTACAATGTTTGTGATACATTTCTAGAAAATCGAATTATACTACAATAACAATTCAAGGAAAATGAATAAAAGAAGGGAATACGACCACACTTTTACTCTATTCTCCTCAATAAATCAGACATACTTAGAATCATCAGTTTCTTGCGAAAAAATCTATGCACTTAAAAATCTAATCAAGCATAATACTACAAGTTAATGTGATGAAAATACACAGTAATTGAAGTTATTACACATGCTTAACTACAGCCTATAACAATACAAGCAACAAAAGAAGAAAAAAACCATAACGTACTTAGGAAGCAACTGAGATGAAGATGGTGACCCACTAGCCCATGGGGGTGGTGCGGGGGCATTAGAAGCAGTAGCAGCCGACCTTGTAGCCAAAGGACGTTGACGGACGAAGGGATTTGCAGATTCCTTAGAGGCAGAGGACGAAAACAATTGTCTTCTATTGTCATGTACTTTCAAGTTCTTCATTAAAAAAGATAGTATAACATCAGGGTCAGCAATGACTTGCAGAAAATACGTAAAAGTAAGAACACACCAATACAATACAATACAATACCTCAGTTCGCATGGTGAGAACATCTTTAAACTCTTTTGTGGTGCTCATCAATCGGGTCTTTAGGTCATCCACAACCGTGGTTGAATGGCTAGTTGTGTCGGTAGAAGCGTTTCCACTCTCATTTGTAGAGTTGCAGAGTAACTGAAGATCCACAACAGCAGAGTTCAGAGCAGTAATATCTTGCTTAATAACACCCGTAAGCTCTTGGATTTCCATGGTGGGATCGTCAAAAACCGAAGTTCTTTTAGCCACTGCGAATCAAAACAAAAATGAATTGACAAGAAACAATCACCCACATCATGAATAGTGTATTAAATGAATCGAATTGAATTGAATTGCTTACACTTGGCGAGCTTAGCGAGCTTCTGAGACGTTTGGTGAATCCCGTAGCCAATCTTGGAAGCCCTCCTATTGAATTCTGATTGAATTGCAACAGCAGATCGTTGTTCCTCCGATCTGGAAGAACTAGCACCACTACTGCTAGGCCCATTGGGCCCAGATCCTGACTTCTTCAACCTCTCCGCAATGCTCTGGAATTCCTGCGACCGATCCCGAAATGATGACTGCGCCGATTTGATGTGCATCTTTCAATCGGTGTTGCTCCGGCGAATAACAACGAAATGTGGAAACCCTAGATCTAGTCAGAATTGGAATCGGAATCGGAATCGGATTGCGTTTTGCTGTGGTGTATAGATCAATGGATACAGTGAAACGAATTTTGGAAATGAAAATGGCAGATTGCATTTGCTTTGCAGTAGCCTGTTGCTCTATTTGGACATGTAACATCTAACGAATTTTAGATCAAGATTTTGCTTGCTTTTATTATAACACGAGTTAATTGATTTGATAACTACTCTATCCGAAATAAATTAAAAAAACAAAAACAAAAGTAATTGATATTTATTTATTTATTTGGATAAAAAAGTATTTGATTTTTTTTTTTTTTTTGCTAAACAAAATGGTATTTGATTTTACATTAATAACGATCATAACTCTGACGTATGAATAAAGTAGCAAATATTTTGTTTACCCAAAATGTCACATGACATATTTCGCTACACTGTGTAACGAAATATGTGTCCAAATAATTCACTATACAGTGCAGCAAAATATGCTACGTAAGAATCAAAAAATACGAGGTGTCAAAATTGAAGAAAATCGCTACGTGAACTATACAATTTGACAAACTTGGTGCTAAGCTAAACACTACCGGGACAAATATATATTTGGAGAAAGAAATATTAATGAACTACAGAAGGCTTATCACCGGTAACAAGGCCGTCACTTGTTTCCTCGATCTGTGTTACTCGAATGACTTAAGCCACAAAAAATAAGAAAACCATAAGGAAAAATATTAATACAAAGAAAATCTTTATCATCAGCCACCTATTAGAAGATATGCTGTTCAGATACTTCAACAAAGCCCCTTGTGCCCCCTCTACGTTTGCCAATGTATCATCCATGTTTTCATCGATCCTGCAAATTAAGTACCTTTATTAACCCCTCCAGGCTCCAATGTCTCAATTGGCCAATATGAATAAGACCATAATAATAAATAATATCTAATCGTCATAAATACATAATTACACAACAGCAATAAATATTTTCATAATCATACATAAGTAAGCAAATTCCAACATTGAAAGTGAAAAAGTTGAGCAAGATCTTCAAAAAAAAATGTCATCCTCACCATTTTACCAAGTTTACCTCAAGTTTGACCATCACCTTTTTGCAAATAAGTTAAGAAATGTTTTACAGGTAAATTCACAAGTTAACCAGTTATCTAACAAGTTCGACAACATGGTTGCATGACTTTCTCCCCTTCTACTTTCAGTTCATCAATTTTTTGTAATAGCAACCGCACATATCCAGAAACTGATAGAACAGCTCCATTTAAAATCAAAATTCAAAAGAATACAGCCAATACAAATCCCAGCATTTTCTGGCACAAAAAACCAAGCTTTCACTCCCTCTGACACTTCCACCAGCTAATAATATAATAATACCAACCTCATTTGGGATTAAATAAGGAAAAGCACTAATAAGTTTACAATGTCCTACTCCTATGTACACCCCAAGTCCAAAATATCCCGAAACATACTAAAAGAAATCAATGACCAAATAAAAAAAGGTCATAAACAAGAAGATATACTTAAACTGAACACCAAAACATTCATTTGTATTGTCCAACTTAGTCTCCCAACCAAAGATGTGAGATTAATTTTAGCTGTCACCAAGTACATTAGAACCAGTAGGAAGTGTTTCTATGGCAAGACCAGTACATATCCAAAGGAACAAATAGGATCAAGGAATTACTTAAAGCGATACAAGGAAGGCCAAAGCATGGGTTTCATGCGTGAGATTTAACTCCTCAAAGCATAGAATGCACTTTCAAGAGCAAAGTGCATCGTGAACAACCACTCACTAGAAGGTATCAAAGGTTCAGAACCTTTTCAAGTACAAGCGCCATAGTACTTGTCCATTAAGTTACCATGACACAATCTAGTCACTTTGTCATCAACAGTAAAGTATCCACTTAAACTTTACGCTCTAAAAGTTTACCTTGTAAAGAGTCTAAATTCTTATCCACTAGGTAAACAGCCAAACCAGCAATTTAAATGGCACGACATCCATAACTCTACAGTCAACATGCAGTAAACAACCCAATCATCTCCCACGGACAACCAGAAACCAAAGCAACAGATTGCTAGGTAGAATACAGGGTTATTGAAGTCAAGGCCCAAACTCATCTCACAGTCAATCTAACCAGCATAGGCTCATTTGATATCAGAATTACTGACTAATCAAGTAAGGTTGGATCTAATAGTAACACACATCCTATATTGTATTGGAATACAGAAATAAAGGACAATAAGACTGTACCCATATAGCACACAAGTGAGAAATATAAAAACCTGATGGCAATCTCTCCTTGTTGCGAAACAAGTGTTGCTACTTGATTAAAAATGTTGCTGAACTCATGAACAGTGGACTCAATATTCTGAAGAGCTTCAGCTCTGCTTTGCATGTAACTGTCTTGCAATGGAACTACCTGTTGTTGCTGTTGTTGCAGCAATGGTTGACTCTCTCCATCCACACCCTTCCTACAGATATAAAGGCCAAGAAAAAATAAAATTGTATGAAATCATAGTTTGAGGTATAATTCAAACCAACCTGAAACAACCTTAAAATATAGGAGCATAATTTCATTATTAAATAGGAAAGGATCCACAAACCATGCCTTGTACCTAGAGCTGTCGTTTTAGTCCGAAAATAGCAAATTTTTGATGGGTGGAGCTAACATTTCAACTCTCATCCCTTTTGTTGGGCCAAGCCAGCCCAGCAAAAGAAAATAGTTTGAATGAGTCAGCCTACATTTCTACATGTGTTTTTAGCCGGCTTGTTTGACCTGCCAATTTCTCCTAGCCAAGCCAAGTTTGACTAGTCCTACAGTTTTGTTAGGCCAGGCTAGGCTGACAAAACAAGATCTGAATGGACCAGCTTGTTTGACAGTTCTATATGTACCCAAACAAGTAATTGAAGACCACAAATTAAATTAAACGGATGAAATAATTAATTCAGTGAAGCAGTGGGTGTGAACTTGTGCTTGTTTAAAGCGAAAACAAGAGAGGGATAAAGACAAAGTAAGTGATTTGAAATTAATATGTACAATGGAAAAAATGCTGCAAAATTGAGTTATATTTCAATAACAGTTAAAGGAAAACAAATAAAAGAAGGGTATGTGACCACACTTTTACTCTATTTTAATAAACCAGGCTTGCTTAGAACCACCTCACCAGTCAACAGTTCCTTCGAACAAAAAAAAAAAAACTATGCACTTAATAATCCAAGCATAATACGATAGTTTAACGGCATTACAAAAAAATTAGCAAGAAAACAACAAACACGTACTTAGGAAACAACTGAGATGAAGATGGAGACCCACTAGCCCCTGGGGGTGGTGCAGGGGCATTAGAAGTAGCAGCAGCGAATTTTGTTGCCAGAGGACGTTGACGTACGAAGGGATTTACAGATTCCTTAGAGGCAGAAGACGAAAACAATTGTCTTCTATTATCACGTACTTTCAAGTTCTTCATAAGAAACGATAGCATAACATCAGTGTCGGCAATGACAGCAGAAAATACGTAAAAGTTAAAACGCACCAATAAAATACAATACAATACTTCAATTCGCATGGTGAGAACATCTTTAAACTCACTGAGTTGTAGTATTAGGATTAGTATATGAATATTTATCATTATTATTGATTCAGATTTTAAATTGATCCTTCTTCGACCTATCACGGGCCGGTACATAACAAAACTAATTTTGGAAATGAAGATGGTGGCATTGCAGTAGCGTCTTATTCTATTGGACATTTTACACAGAGGGCTTCTCTTTCTAACTTCTAACAACATAATTTACAGTTTCACGAATCCTATTAGTATAACATATTCTTTTTAATTCTTATATTATTAAATAAAATTTCACATGACTTTTGTTAAATAACTTAAATTCAACAAAAATAAGTATAAAAAAAAAATCAACAAAAGTAACATGAGATTTTGTTTAATAATAAAAAGTGTTATAAAAAATAATATATTGTCTGTATATTTAATTTAGGTTTATGGGTTTCTAGTTTCTACTATTTGGAGTTATAATTGATACCGTATAATAATAAATAAATAGTAATTTTATTTTGTATCTATATGTAGTGTGTTTAGAATTTAGATTGTTTCATATTTAAAATAATTTATAAATAAATAATTCTTAAAAGAGATTTTTAAAATAATTATTGGGAAAAATATGTGCCCGACGGTCATTTTTAAAACCTTGCACAAACAAATAGTTTTTGTTGGGTTAATTATTCTGATTAAAACAAACTTTAGTTAGAAACAACAGTATAAAAACACGAGAGATTCATTTCCCACAAAAAAAAAAACAAAAAAACAAAACAAAACACGAGAGATTCCATATGGTTCTTCTAAATAACTTGTATAACCATGTCGGGTCCGTAGTTAGTTAAGGAAATCATGATCACATTATAAGCGTGTAGAATCTTATATTATAAAGGAATTCCATTATGTGGAAACCTTGCTGATGTGTCGCACTGTGGTTCAATTTCACCAATGTGTTCACACTACAACATATAAAAAAGTTTCCTTTAATGGTAAATCGGTGAATATAATAAATACAAAAAAGAATTATATTTTCAATTGACAGGATTTGTTACTTTAAATCAATGGTCAAGATTGCTTATTCATTGATTTATAACTACTAAATCACTCTTTGTCGTCATCTTTGTTTTTTAAATAATTGATGTTGATCATGTAATCTAATCGTTTTTTTAACCTTTTATTCAGTTTAATTCAAATCTTTACGTTTTTTGAAAAAAAAAAAGGGATATTCATTGTTTTTTAAAACAAATGACTGCTTTATTCCATGAAAATCTCATTAATAACTACTGAATCACTCTTTTGTCGTCATCTTTGTTTTTTAAATAATTGATGTTGATCATGTAATCCAATCGTTTTTTTTAACCTTTATTCAGTTTAAATCAAATCTTTACGTTTTTTGAAAAAAAAATACAGGATATTCATTGTTATTAAAACAAATAACTGTTTTATTCCATGAAATGACTGTTAAAAAACTGGATATTCATTGATTTATAACTACTAAATCACTCTTTGTCGTTATCTTTGTTTTTTAAATTTTTATTCAGTTTAATTCAAAAACTTCACATTTTTTAAAGAATACAATTCTATTTACTCGAAAAAAAATTAATTAGTAAAAAAAAAAATTATACATATCCCGACCTTTGTTCCTTATTTTCAGATTTTTAAATTTGAATCTTTTATTAACCTTTTGATTCAGTGGAATCAGGTATGTGTGTTTTGTTATTAGAAAAAACTTATGTTTTATTCCATGAAAATCTCATTTACAACTACTAAATCACTCTTTTGTCGTCATCTTTGTTTTTTAAATAATTGATGGTTATCATGTAATCTAATCGTTTTTTTTTAACCTTTATTGAGTTTAATTCAAATCTTTACGTTTTTTGAAAAAAAAAATGGGATATTCATTGTTATTAAAACAAATGACTGTTTTATTCCATGAAAATCTCATTTATAACTACTGAATCACTCTTTTGTCGTTATCTTTGTTTTTTAAATCTTTATTCAGTTTAATTCAAAAACTTCACATTTTTTAAAGAAGACAATTCAAAAACTATAAATCACTCTCATTTATACAATTCCTGATACGCATTATTCTTCAACGTCGGTGATTGCTTCTCTGTTTTTTCTTCTTACACAAAATATGAGTTCAAAATATGATTTTCTGAAGGATGTTAATCCTGCCAAGGAGGACTGGAGGATTAAGGTGAAGGTGGTTCGGACTTGGAAAGTTCCTAACTTTCAGCGTAAAAATTTGGAGGACAATCTTGAAATGGTTTTATTGGATGAACAGGTTGTGTTCTATGTTTTAAAAATCTTCCATCTTTGTTTTGATCATTTTAGTTAACGTTGTTGACATAAGTTGGCTCCATTCTTTTGTAGGGTGGTAGGATTCACACCACTGTCAAAGGTACCTTGCAGGTGCGGAATAAAATCAACAAAGGAGAGTGCTATTTTATAAAAAAATTTGGAGTTGGATTCAATAGCGATGTGTTTAGGCCAACCAAGCATCAGTATCATTTGTCTTTCAACTTGAGGACTGATGTTAAATCGATTGTTGTTTCTGATATTTGTACGAGTGATTTTGATTTTGTTGATTATAACATCATTGAGAAAGAAACGTCTGACTCCCCTTATTTAGTCGGTAATAGATTCTTCCTCACTGTTATCCTTTTTTTAATTATTGCGGGTCTTATTTTTTTCCCATACTCTTTGCTGCCTTTTTTTAATTTTTAAACGTCATTAGTTTATTCTGTATCATGACTATTTCCTTATTTTTAAACTCTTTGCGGTTATAGTTTTGTGTTTTTAATGTTTTGTCACGAGTAATCTTATTCTGTATCATTATTTTTTTCATTAACTGTGTTTTTTATGTTTCTGTATTCGTTTTTTATTATTGCATAATTTTTTTCACAAACTCTTTGCTGCATTTTTTTTTGTAGACGTCATTGGTTTAATCTCAGGAATTGGGAAAGTTTGTGATCATGTGGTTTCTGGTAGGAAGACAAAAATGGTGGTGTTGGAGCTTGACGACCTGAGGTACTTACAAATGTTTAGTTAAATGAATTATTTTTGTCCAGCTCTGTTAGCTTATATTTTACGCGTATTAACGTTGTGCTTGCTGCAACTCACGTGTAGGGGTCATAAGTTGGAGTGCACTTTGTGGGAGCATTATGTGGATGGGGTCCAATCTTTTTTGGCAGACAACGACGATCCTCATAACGTCCTGATAGTCCAATTGGGAAGGATTAAGTGTTTTAGAGATATGTTTTTTCCAAACAACGTTGTTTTAATTTTTGCTTTTATAATCAGTTTTTATGCTCGTTATTTTAATTAATTTTGCTTCTGTATTCAATGTTTATCTGAACCTTTTAACTCAATAGGTAAGGTCGGGATAACAAATACAAAATATACAACAAGGATTGTAATGGATTCAAAACTGAATGAGATTGTTGAGTTCAAAAAATGGTGTGTACCTTCTTTCTTCAGCTCATTTATTCGGTTATTGATTAATGGATGCGAGCTGCTGAATGAGTGCTGCTAAATTGCGCGAGCTGCATTTCAAGAGGGTTTGTTTTTTAATTGCTGTGTTATGGTTAAAATGTATTTTTTGTCGTTTTGTGCTCTCTCTTTGCGCTGTCTATGTTCTGTTCTTTTTTTTTTAGAATAATTTTTTTTCCCTTTTCATTTTTTTTAGGGTGCCGGTTTAGATCAATTTCCAAATGAGTTAAATGTTCTGAATGAAAAGTCAATGTTGTCCAAGATAAATGTTAAGCAAAAAGATTTGAACACAAATAGTGAGCCCAAATATCAAGTTTCCAAAATTTGTATCAGCGAAGACATAATCTCAGCGTTCATTAAGTCTCTTATAGATCCAAATGTATGCTGCTTATATATTTCTTTTAGATAACTATTTTTCTTATACATTATATTTATTGTTGTTGGTTGTTGTCTATCACAGGATGAAGCAAATTTAGATAATGCACGCGAAAATGAAGTTGTTTCGTCGGAACTGGAAAAGGCTGCGGTGAGCTATGAATTCGATTTAGATTCATGTTATTAAAAATATATAAATACATATTTGACATACCTTTTTTATATGAAAAAAAAAAAAAAAACACAAGATGTTGAAAGTCAGACCTGTGACAGTGCTGACGTTAGTGATGTCTCTCTGACAATGTTGACACCTGTGCTCACTTCTCATGATTCCATTGCTGGAGAATTTAAATTTTAAGCTGTTCGGCCGACAAAGAAAATAAAGCTTGAAAAGGAGTTACGTACTGTGGTTCTTATATTTTTATTTAAAATTCATTTGTGTTTATATGTGTTTTTTCTTACGCGAAGTGAAAACAGTGATAATTTATTTTTTCTTTATTTTTTTAAATAGAGATCTTAAATACATTATCATGCTCAGGGATTCCTGATAATAAATTAATCTTGAAAGTTAAAGTTCCAGTAATGCTATTAAGAAATATTGATCAGTCGAGAGGTTTATGCAATGGCACGAGATTGCTTATTACCAATTGTACTTACAGGAAGCAATATAGGGGAAACTGTGTTAATCCCTAGAATGACGATGAGCCCATCGAGTCATACATTTCCTGTAAATTTCCAAAGAAGACAATTCCCCCTGATTGTATCGTTTGTCATGACTATCAACAACAGTCAAGGACAATCACTTTCACATGTTGCAATTTATCTCCCTAAGCCTGTCTTCACTCATGGACAATTATATGTGGCACTGTCTAGAGTAAAGAGTAAGCATGGATTGAAGATATTGATACTTGATGAAAATGGCTGCGTTACGAATAGTACCCTTAATATAGTTTACAAGAAAGTATTTCAAAGACTGCTATAGTATATTGGGTTCTTTCTTCAGAGATATAACTTCGTTGTATGATACAGGTAAAGACAAAAAAAATGACTGTTTATTCGCGTCTCTTTTCCTTATCTATCTTCAAAGATATGACCTTTATTATCCTATTTTCTTTCCTATTTTTAATGTAACAATGAATGACTGTTTTGTTATTTAAAAAAATGACTGTTTGGGACCTTTGAAATACTGACAAAATGAGTTCGGCCCGGAGGGCCGACCCACCATGCCAAACAAACCAATTTTTTTTCCCGTCCATCGGCACGGGTAATTCACTAGTGTAATTATGAAAAGGGAAAAGTTAAAAAATTTCCCTAAGGTTTTTCTTAGAATTACTTTCTTTTTTGTTATTTATCTTTTATTATTGTTTCAGTCCAGTCCACCTTCTAACATTGTTAAAAATTAAATTAGACTATTCATCTTATCCCTGTAAAAAGATAATGTAATGCTTCTTCTTTTTAATCCAACTTTTATTATAATACTAAGGCAAATAATCAAACATTTATTACATATTCAAACTCTTTACTCCATTAGAATATGTCAAATTTAACTTAAATTGAACCTTTTTTGTTTAAATTAAATTAAATCTTCATTTATTTGAATTTTTTTATATTTTCTTATTTTATTCACGGTCAATCCCTTTATCATTTGTGTATTTGCTCATAGCTTTAAGCGTAACGTTATTGAGTACTCTACATTAATAGACCAATCTATTTCTTAATATATTAATATTTTTTTATTTTCTCTGTTACCTATCTCTAGCTTATATTTCTTTATTTTAATTTTTGAACCTTGAATAAATATATATTTTCATATAAATTGATTACTTAAATAATCTATAATTTTATTTATTAAACTTGAGATACTAATACATTCATCAAACTCAACTCAAGTCAATTTTACTAAAGATATATAAATTTGTAATAAGAAAAAATCATAATGGATATATTTGAATTTTTTTTTGTTTATTGGCTTACATAAGTTATGTACCTACAACATTAATATTATCTCAATTATGTACTATACAAAAATTTTTGAATTAATTTATAGTTAGAGATGTCATTTTATGAACCTAAAGCCCCGTATCACGATCATTATATTTTTGTTTGATTTTTTATTGGATAATAATATGTGATTTATTATTTTTTACATTAAAATATTTGAAATTTGTATCATTTTTTTTAGATATTTGAGTATGTTTGTAATTTTTTAATATAAATTATAAAATTGCATATAATTACCGAGTCATGCGATTGAACCAGTGACTCACTAGTTGAACCAGTGACCCAATGACCCAGTACCTCGACCGGGTCAATGACCGGACCGATTTTAATAACATTTAGTGATATTTATTTATTTTTCGGATAAAAAAGTATTTGATTTCTTTCTTTTTCTTTTTTGGTAAACAAAAAGGTATTTGATTTTACATTAATAACGATCACAACTCTGACGTATTAATAAAGTAGCAAATATTTCATGCATTATGCGAAGAATTTAAAAATTTAAATAAAATATAATCAAAAATTAAATTATAAAAATATATATCATTTGAATAAAATTTAAAAAGTATATTTAAAAGTATTTTAAATCATAATATATATATATGATTAATTTTAAGTTTAAAATTTAAAATAAATATTAAAAATAGCGTGTTTCATTTTATAAGATAGAATATACTAAGACAGGGAGATTTAAATATTATTAAAATTGAATTATAAATTTACTCTCATTTCATATGCAGACATGGATAAAAAGATTCTCATTCTTTTTACCAAAAAAAAATCTCATTCTTTATATTTGGTTGAGTTTTAACTTAAAGGATATGTTCAGCATTTACTTAAAATTTAAGAGGACCAAATTTGAAAGGTTAGATTTTTCATCGAGCAAAAGTTAAAGGATTAACATTTTCTTTTTAGCTTTTTTATAGGGTTTTATAATTCTCATTCAACATGAGAATTAAAATTTTCCTACACACCTTTCGATTTTCGTGCTGATATGGATTCTACGTATAATTTTTTTTAACACATGAGTTCCGCGTGCTTTTTTATCTCTACAATATAAGATTTTAATTCTTATTCAACATCATAATTATAAAACCCTTTTTGATATTCACGTTGAGAAATGTGACATTGTCGAGCATGCGGTTGTTGCCTTTGACATATTCTTCCTCTACTATCATTTGTGTTAATGCTGTTAAAATGGCAGTTTGGTTTTGGCCGAAGGAAAAAAACTTTTTCTTCGGCTTCGCTTGCCTCGTAACACATGCTGGTTATTTAAATTGCCAACTGGGCAAACTTTTTGGTAAAAAAGTTAAATAAAATATTATATCTATCTTTTTTATGTCTTGCTCTACCTATTCATTCCAATATCATTAAATCAAAATCTCACGAGAAGAGAAAAAAATAAAAAATAATTGACATTCTCTCTAACAATGTTGGAAAAGAATAGATAAAATAAACATAAAAAAATAAGTAAAATATACTATGTAAAAAAAAAACTTTCGCAATTTAAGTAGTTTTATATTTGTACCTATTCTATTTACTACTCATAACATGTAAAAGTTTTTCAAGATATATTACTTTCCCTTCCTAAGTATTGTAAATCAGATTAATAAATTACAACTGTGGAAAACAATACAACGAGTAATATTGCAAAACGATAAGATCTTATTTTCCTTTACTATATTTTTCCTGTAATCAGCTCATGAATTGCTTTTCTTTGCTCCTAAATCCCAACATTGTCTATATGCATAATAAATAGGGATTTATGAATACTGTGTCACAGAATGAAACTTGCATCATGCTACATTCACAATGTAAGTGAGCCCCACCAATTTTTGTAAAAGAACAAAAAATAAAAAAGTAATGCACATATATTATGGATAGTAATGATATGTCCCATCATTGTGAGTATAATGGTAGATGTTTTGGACCAAGTTAAAATTATTTCTTTTTCTGCTTTAAGGTTAAACTTATTTACTTTTATTAATAAGTGATTCGCTACAAAAGGATTTTTTTGTTAGTGAACATGTCACAGTTAGTTATTTCCTTTTTTGTAAAGACGGAGAAACAAATTCAATTTTATCTACTCTACTATTTACTAGGGTGTTCATCAACCGATCCAAACTGATTCAAATCACGGTGACTGAACCGAAAAATCGAAAACCAAAAAACTAAAAAACCGAAAAAAAAACTGCAAATTTTAATAGAATTGGATCGGATTTCGGATTGATTGATGAAAACCGATCCAATATATTAATTTCTCTCTACCTATTTGGGTCTTTTCCAAATTATATCCCAAAAATTTCTAAACCCAACACATATTAACCCATCAACTAAACCCAAAAAAAAATCTAGTCATATCTCATCAACAAAATTTCATTTGTGTAGAACTTCATATCTCATTCTCAAAAAAAAAAACTATATTATCATTTACTTATTCTTTTGTATTTAATTTTATTTATACAAATATATAAAAAACATTATTTGCACAATAATCATGAAACAAATTTTAAAATCAAATTATCACTATATTTATTCCTTTTTCTACTTTTTTTTCTAAGTGCAGAATAACCTCAAGGAGTTGCGGATTCTTTTCAACTAATTGGGATCTGTCTGTAAAAAAGAACAGTCGATTTTCTGCTGCAACATAACCAACTGATTTCCCTAATAAATATTACAGAAAGCCTCCACTGTATAATAATCATCACAAATCACGAAAAGATAAATGGACACGCAATGCACAGTTCTTAACCTCGTCATATGTATCAATACGTACAAGTATACAATTTGACAAACTTGGTGCTAAGCTAAACTGTACGGGGACGAATATATATTTGGAGAAAGAAATATTAATGAACTACAGAAGGCTTATCACCGGTAACAAGGCCGTCACTTGTGTCCTCGATCTCTGTTACTCGAATGACTAAGCCACAAAAAATAAGAAAACCATAAGGAAAAATATTAATACAAAGAAAATCTTGATCATCAGCCACCTATTAGAAGATATGCTGTTCAGATACTTCAACAAAGCCCCTTGTGCCCCCTCTACGTTTGCCAATGTATCATCCATGTTTTCATCGATCCTGCAAATTAAGTACCTTTATTAACCCCTCCAGGCTCCAATGTCTCAATTGGCCAATATGAATAAGGCCATAATAATAAATAATATCTAATCGTCATAAATACATAATTACACAACAGCAATAAATATTTTCATAATCATACATAAGTAAGCAAATTCCAACATTGAAAGTGAAAAAGTTGAGCGAGATGAAAAAAATGTCATTCTCACCATTTTACCAAGTTTACCTAAAGTTTGACCATAACCTTTTTGCAAATAAGTTAAGAAATGTTTTACAGGTAAATTCACAAGTTAACCAGTTATCTAACAAGTTCGACAACATGGTTGCATGACTTTCTCCCCTTCTACTTTCAGTTCATCAATTTTTTGTAAAAGCAACCGCACATATCCAGAAATTGATAAAACAGCTGCATTTAAAATCAAAATTCAAAAGAATACAGCCAATACAAATCCCAGCATTTGCTGGCACAAAAAACCAAGCTTTCACTTCCTCTGGCACTTCCACCAGCTAATAATATAATAATACCAACCTCATTTGGGATTAAATAAGGAAAAGCACAAATAACTTTACAATGTCCTACTCCTATGTACACCCAAGTCCAAGATATCTCGAAACATACTAAAAGAAATCAATGACCAAACAAGAAACCAACAAAAATTATTAAAAAAAGGTCATAAACAAGAAGATATACTTACACTGAACACTATTAGAGATATAACTATTTTATTTTATTTTTAGTTGAGATATTCTAGATCTTTCTCTTTTCTGTTATGCTCTTCTATATAAGAGCCCACATATTGTACAAATTAATTACCTAATCAATGAAAATGATATTTTCCATTTTCTCTCTTTTACCTTCTAATATGGTATCAGAGCATTTTTATCCTCCATGAATGGAGATTCCGCTGCAATCACTATTTTTTTTTCTCTTTGTTTCCTTTCTTTCGGATCTGATCCCCATCTGTGAATTTTTTTTTTTTTTTATCATCAGAGCTACTCTTTCTCCTTTATTTTTCTATGTCCATTTTATTTTATTTTTAATCTTGGTTTCGGGTCGTCTTCTTCAATGACTTTCCCGAAAATAGCTTTGCCCCGCTCTGTCTCATTCATATCTCATCGCCTTCTAATATGGCAAATGGTATCATCGTCTTCTTTCATCTCTCACACTCTCTACCGTTAACATGGATCCCTACAAGCACCGTCCATCTAGCATCGTTCTCTCTCCCATAGATTTTTTGAATTTTCCAGATCTAATGGGTTTTCATCCAGATCCGTATCTCTTTTCTTTTCTCTTTCTATATTGGGTTTCTCTCTTAACTCTGTGAGTCTGTGAACATCAAAACAATGGTGGATCTTCAAACCGTTTGCTGCATTTTTTTTCTTCCTTTCAGATCTATTTCATTTGATTTTAAATTTTTGCATTTTTCGTTTTCCATCATCCCTGTTCTTAGATCGTTTCAGAGTTGTTTCAGATCATTCACATTTCAGATCGTTTTTCAGATAGTTTCAGATATCATCCATCTCATTTTTTTTCCTTCTCCTTCTCTGATATTTCTCTTGCTCGCATGGTTCACCATTCGCGTCCTTGTTGGTGTTGGATTTTCATCAGATCTATAATTTTTTTTCTCATCTATTTTTTTTTTCTTTCCATTTTTTATGTGTTTTTCTTATGTCTCTCCTATTATAGACTCTCCGATTAATGGCCTTTTCCGGAGATATATTTCTTTGCTACTGTGTGGCTTCTATTTGGCCTTGATTCCATGGCTGGGATGTTGAGTTTTTTGTTGCACACTAACTGTTTGCTGCTTTGTGTCACTAAGCCATTACACTTTAGTTTCTGCAATTTTGTTCAGAATTCATTTTTGGGTTATGTATTTGTTTTCTGAATTTTCTTATGCTGCCATTCCTATTTTGGACGTTATGTTGATGTGAGGCTTGTATTTGGCCAATTTGATTTTATTCCCACATATGTTTGTGGTGTTCTTCAAGTCTGATTTGACTTGTATTTGGTTTATTTTTGCCATTGTTTCGGCTTTATTTTGGCTTCCTATTCACGGGGAGCATTGTTCATGTTGGCTTCCTATTCAAGGGGAGCATTGTTCATGTTGTTGATGCTCATTTCAGAATTTTGCCGATGTCCATCCCGGCACAGTTTATATTAGGTGGCTGATGTCCATCCCAGCCCTTCCTTCCTTTACCAACTCTTCAGACTGATGATCATTCCAGTTGATTTGCTGTGCTACTGATTTCTCCGGATGATGTTCCGTGAAACTTTTATTTTCTTTCTTCCCAAGATGGAGTGTTCATATTATTCACCCTCCATCTTGAGGGGGAGTATTAGAGATATAACTATTTTATTTTATTTTTAGTTGAGATATTCTAGATCTTTCTCTTTTCTGTTATGCTCTTCTATATAAGAGCCCACATATTGTACAAATTAATTACCTAATCAATGAAAATGATATTTTCCATTTTCTCTATTTTACCTTCTAATAAACACCAAAACATTCATTTGTATTGTCCAACTTAGTCTCCCAACCAAAGATGTGAGATTAATTTTAGCTGTCACCAAGTACATTGGAACCAGTAGGAAGTGTTTCTATGGCAAGACCAGTACATATCCAAAGGAACAAAGAGGATCAAGGAATTAATTAAAGCGATACAAGGAAGGCCGGTTTCATGCGTGAGATTTAACTCCTCAAAGCATAGAATGCACTTTCAAGAGCAAAGTGCACGTGAACAACCACTCATTAGAAGGTATCAAAGGTTCAGAACCTTTTCAAGTACAAGCACCATAGTACTTGTCCATTAAGTTACCATGACACAATCTGTTCACTTTGTCATCAACAGTCAAGTATCCACTTAAACTTTACGCTCTAAAAGTTTACCTTGTAAAGAGTCTAAATTCTTATCCACTCAGTAAACAGCCAAACCAGCAATTTAAATGGCACGACATCCATAACTCTACAGTCAACATGCAGTAAACAACTTAATCATCTCCTACAGACAAGCAACCTGATCCACACACGCTTTACTCTATAATTTGCCCATACCTTATGCAAGTTATTTGTCTGCTTAGTAAGTAGAAAAAAAAAAAAAAAGCAATGCAAATAGTACGACATCACAACCTTATAGTCAACATGCAGTAAACAACCCAATCATCTCCCACGGACAACCAGAAACCAAAGCAACAGATTGCTAGGTAGAATACAAGGTTATTGAAGTCAAGTCCCAAACTCATCTCACAGTCAATCTAACCAGCATAGGCTCATTTGATATCAGAATTACTGACTAATCAAGTAAGGTTGGATCTAATAGTAACATACATCCTATATTGTATTGGAATACAGAAATAAAGGACAATAAGACTGTACCCATATAGCACACAAGTGAGAAATATAAAAACCTGATGGCAATCTCTCCTTGTTGTGAAACAAGTGTTGCTAGTTGATTAAAAATGTTGCTGAGCTCATGAATAGTGGACTCAACATTCTGAAGAGCCTCAGCTCTGCTTTGCATGTAACTGTCTTGCAATGGAACTACCTGTTGTTGCTGTTGTTGCAGCAACTGTTGACTCTCTCCATCCACATCCTTCCTACATATTTAAAGGCCAAGAAAAAATAAAATTGTATGAAATCATAGTTTGAGGTATAATTCAACCCAACCTGAAACAACCTTAAAATATTGGAGCATAATTTCATTATTAAATAGGAAAGGATCCACAAATCATGCCTTGTACCTAAAGCTCTCATTTTAGTCCCAAACTAGCAAATTTTTGCGGGGTGGAGCTAACATTTCAACTCTCATCCCTTTTGTCGGGCCAAGCCAGCCCAACAAAGGAAAATAGTTTGAATGAGTCAGCCTACATTTCTACATGTATTTTTGGCCGGCTTGTTTGACCTGCCAATTTCTCCTAGCCAAGCCAAGTTTAACTAGTCCTACAGTTTTGTTGGGCCAGGTTAGGCTGACAAAACAAGCTCTGAACTGATGAAATAATTAATTCACAAATTACTTGTGTAACCAAACAAGTAATTGAAGTCCACAAATTAAACTAAACGGATGAAATAATTAATTCAGTGAAGCTGTGAACTTGTGCTTATTTAAACTTTAAAGCGAAAACAAGAGAGGGATAAAGACAAAGTAAGTGATTTGAAATTAATATTGGTACAATGGTTGTGAAAAAATGCTGCAAAATTGAGTTATATTTCAATAACAGTTAAAGGAAAACAAATAAAAGAAGGGTATGTGACCACAATTTTACCCTATTTTAATAAACCAGTCTTGCTTAGAACCACCTCACCAGTTCCTTCGAACAAAAGAAAAAACTATGCATTTAATAATCTAATCAAGCATAATACCATAGTTTACCAGCATTACAGAAAAATTAGCAAGAAAACAACAAACACATACTTAAATACAAGAAAAAAAGAAATAAAAATTACGTACTTAGGAAACAACTGAGATGAAGATGGAGACCCACTAGCCCATGGGGGTGGTGCAGGGGCATTAGAAGTAGCAGCAGCCGACTTTATTGCCAAAGGACGTTGACGTACGAAGGGATTTGCAGATTCCTTAGAGGCAGAAGACGAAAACAATTGTCTTCTATTGTCATGTACTTTCAAGTTCTTCATAGAAAAACGATAGCATAACATAAGTGTCGGCAATGACAGCAGAAAATACGTAAAAGTTAAAACACACCAATAAAATAAAAATACAATACAATACCTCAGTTCGCATGGTGAGAACATCTTTAAACTCTTTCGTGGTGCTCATCAATCGGGTCTTTAGGTCATCCACAACCGTGGTTGAATGGCTAGTTGTGTCAGTAGAAGCGTTCCCACTCTCATTTGTAGAGTTGCAAAGTAACTGAAGATCCACAACAGCAGAGTTCAGAGCAGTAATATCTTGCTTAATAACACCCGTAAGCTCTTGGATTTCCATGGTGGGATCGTCAAAAACCGAAGTCCTTTTAGCCACTGCGAATCAAAACAAAAATGAATTGACAAGACACAATCACCGACATCATGAATAGAGTATTATATGAATAGAATTCAATTGAATTGAATTGCTTACACTTGGCGAGCTTGGCGAGCTTCTGAGACGTTTGGTGAATCCCATAGCCAATCTTGGAAGCCCTCTTATTGAACTCTGATTGAATTGCAACAGCAAATCGCTGTTCCTCAAATCTGGAAGAACTACTATTACTCCTGCTGCTAGGCCCATTGGGCCCTGACCCTGATTTCTTCAACCTCTCCGCAATGCTCTGGAATTCCTGCGTCCGATCCCGAAATGATGACTGCGTCGATTTGAAGTTCATTTTCACAGAAATTGTCAATTACCTCCAAAAAATGCGAGATCCGTGAAGGGGGTGTAGAAACCCTAGATCCAATTCGAATTGGAAATTGGATTGCATTTGCTGTGGCTGTGTATTGGTCAATCGGATAATCGGAATCGTTATTTAGTGGTTAGGAGCTAGGAAGACATGGACACGATCACGAAGGACGAGCTACCTCTGGAACCAATTGAAACCAATTTTGGAAATGAAGACGGTGACATTGCAGTATCGTCTTGTTCTATTGGACATTTTAGAGAGGGCTTCTCTTTCTAACTTCTAACAACATAATTTGCAGTTTCACTAATCCTATTAGTATAACATATTCTTTTTAATTCTTATATTATTAAATAAAATTTCAGATGACTTTTGTTAAATAACTTTTTTTTTTTTGGGTAACATAAAGGGGAAAAATCCCGAAAAACAATCAAGTCAAAACAGCACTACGAGAATTACAAATTAAAGAAAAGTCTGTCAAATACAAAGTCGCGGTAAGCATGTACCAAATGAACCTCCCAATTCTTTTGCAACCACGCTCGAATGCGAGTCACCAAACGAGACTCTCGAGCTACTCTACCATTCTTGGTGAGTAGAGTGATAATTGAGCTAGAATCACTTTCTAATAAACAACGCCTCCAACCACCAGCCCAAGCTGCTTCAAGACCTTTAAGGACACCCCATAATTCAGCAACAAAAGCTGAACAATGACCTATGTCATAAGCCAATCCCCGGAGCCAACGGCCTATTTCATCCCTGATGACTGCATCACAAGCAGCCCCTCGATCAGCACCCCTAGCTGCCCCATCAGTATTAATTTTTATCCATCCAAACTTCGAGAGAGTCCAACAAACAGAAATAAATTCATGAGACCTTCTAGTCTTAACACCATAAGATCAGTATTAAATAACTTAAACTCAACAAAAGTAAGTATAAAAATTCAACAAAAGTAACACGAGATTTTGTTTAGTAATAAAAAGTGTTATAAAAAATAATATATTGTCTGTATATTTACTTTAGGTTTGTGGGTTTCTAGTTTCTACTATTTGGAGTTATAATTAATACCGTATTATAATAAATAAATAGTAATTTTATTTTGTATCTATATGGAGTGTGTTTTGAATTTAGATTGTTTCATATTTAAAATAAATTATAAATAAAAATTTCTTAAAAGAGATTTTTAAAATAATTATTGGGAAAAATATGTGTCCGACAGTCATTTTAAAAACCTTGCACAAACAAATAGTTTTTCTTGGGTTAATTATTTTGATTAAAAAAAACTTTAGTTAGAATCAACACTATAAAAACACGAGAGATTCTATATGGTTCTTCTAAATAACTTGTATAACCATGTCGGGTACGTAGTTAGTTAAAGAAATCATGATCACATTATAAGCGTGTAGCAAGTTATTATGAAAAGGGAAAAGTTAAAATATTTCCCTCAGGTTTTTCTTAGAATTACTTTTTATTATTATTTATCTTTATTATTTTTTCTGTCCGGTCCATCTTCTAAGTTCTAACACTGTTAAAATTAAATTAGACTATTCATTTTGTCCCTGTAAAAAGATAATGTAATGCTTCTTTTTTTTAATCCAACTTTTATTATAGTACTAAGAAAATAATCAAACATTTATTACATATTCAAACTCTTAACTCCATTAGAATATGTCAAATTTCACTTAAATTGAACCCTTTTCATTTAAACTAAATTAGCTCTTCATTTATTTGAATTTTTTTAGATTTTCTTGTTTTATTCATGGTCAATTCATTTATCATTTGTGCGTATTTACTCATAGCTTTAAGTGTAATATTATTGAGTACTCTACATTAGTAGACCAATTTACTTCTTAATATATTAATATTTTTTCCAACATTTTTTTATTTTCTTTGTTACCTATCTCTAGCTTATATTTTATTATTTTAATTTTTGAACCTTGAATAAAAATATATTTTCATATAAATTGATTACTTAAATAATCTATAATTTTGTTTATTAAATTTAAGATACTAATACATTCATCAAACTTAAGTCACGTCAATTTTATTAAAGATATATAAATTTCTAATAAGAAAAATAATAATTCTAAGTTAAGCATTCATTCTTGCTAACAATGTTATGAATGTTATCTTGTTGGGAAGAGTGACCATTTTGCCACACCTGGCAAAAAATATTATCAGACTGCCACGCCAACAGTAAATTTTGCCAAAATGTCACGCGGCATATTTCGCTACATTGTGTAGCGAAATATGTTTGCAAGTGATTCGCTACACATTGTAGCGAAATATGCCATGTCAGGATGCACAGTCAGCAAAAAATGACATGTGTCAAGCAGACAGAATTCAAGCATAATTCGCTACACAGTGTAGCGAATTTCTGCCTGCTTGACACGTGTCACTTTTGCTGACTATGCATCCTGACATAGCATATTTCGCTACACTCTGTAGCGAATTATTTGCAAACATATTTCGCTACGCAGTGTTGCGAAATATGCCGCGTGGCATTTTGGTAAAATTTACTGTTGGTATGGCAGTCTGGTAAATTTTTTTGCCAGGTGTGGCAAAATGGTCACGGTTCCATCTTGTTGCATGATTGAAATTAATTGCTAACTTGTAGCTTTTATTGTAATTTCTGTCTCAACATTGTTGGGTGATTTTTTTTTTTTTTTTTGACACTTTGATATAAATTTTAGTAAATAATCAGAGTTGAATAAAATATAATATTGCAGTCTAAAATTCTAATCTTTACAATGATTCTTTTTACAAGAATAAAATGGACCGTCTAATTTAATTTTTAACAAAGTTAGAAGTTAGAATGAATGTAAAAAACTATAAGAGGATAAGCGATAAAAAAATAACCATAAAAATAAGTGATTCTAAGAAAAATTATACCGGATTTTTAAACTTTTCCCTTATAAAAATAATAATGAAAAAGATAAAAATAGACTAAGAATATAGTAGGTAATAAATTTGAATTCCCAAGCTCTTGGTCATTAAGGATCCGCTTTAGCATTACAATATGCCTCATCACTTTTAAGAAATATTGCATCATTTTTCTATTTAATTGATAAATTTTTTTTAAAAAAAATAAAGTCTCTCAGTGTGAAACAAATCAACTATGATGCAAATGCCGCAAAGTCACATTATGCTTGATCTATGATAGCATCAACATGAGAGATTATGTTTGCACCATTTTGTTGGCCTTCCTCTGATGTGAAAATCAAAGGATGTAGATCTAACAACCATGCTTTTTATTTCTCTAAAAAATTTAGAGAGGTTAGTATATACTTTAGCCATCGTAAACATTACAAGTTGATAATTATTCATTAAAAAAAAAATGAATCTTAAATATAATATAGCATATATTCCACACAGTTCATGTTAAGTAAGTCTCGAGGAATATTTAAAAGAGTGAAGAAGCTTCGCAACCGTGAATGTTGAACAAATGTTGTTAGTAAATACACATGACAATGATTTCAAGTTGGAATGGCACGGGCAGCTGGAAATTCATTGCTAGAAATACTTTGTTCAAACATCAATATTCAGGATAAGTAAATTGTGATCACATCTCAATTAAGAATCTTATATGGTTTTTATTTGGTCAATATTTAATTAATATAAAATCTCACCACTTATGTATTAGGGCATGTTTGGTGTGACGTATAAGGTCTGATAGTATAAGCTTATACTATACGTTATGATATTTTCACTTATTTGGTGTGACCATCGTATAGTATAAGCTTATACAGCAGAATCTCTTAGGGTATGTTTGGTGCATAGTATTGGATAAGGCCTGATAGTATAAGACCTGATAGTATAAGACTTGATTGTATAAGACCTTATTAAATTTTAATACTATCCAGCGTTTGGCATGATATTGTATAAAATAATGTATTGTATAAGATAATACTATCCAATGTTTGGTAGAGCACTATATAATACTAGATAGGATAAAAATAAATATTTTTGACAAAAATATCCTTTAATAAAGAAAATAATAGTAAGAAAATAAACCAGCTTTTCCAAAATGATGGCTTATATATTCTTGCTTAACTTGAAGTAGATTGATATCATTGAATCCAGTAAATAACAGTAAGAAAATAACCCAGCTTTTCCAAAATGCACTGATGTAAAATTACATTGGAAAATTTGAAAAATGGAAGAACATTGATCATTAAGCCGAACATAAAGAACATAACACATTGATCTTAACTTTGCAACAACAAAACAAGTAGCAATTTTTAAGCCTCCAAATTTAGCCATTCCGCATGATTTCATCAAATCCTATCATGATTACAAAGCAAACTAAAAGCGCTTAACCATAACAAAGTAAGCAATAATTGCAGGAAAAAAATGAAGAACACAAACTCAAGTTGTTTTCAACTTCAAAGTTCACACTAATAAACAGCTACATTTCTACGAAAGATAATTGAAGAAAAGTAAACAAATGTTTACATTCACATTCAGAACCGTAACTTCACCGCTCTCTCACCACCGCTCTTTGTTAGGAATTTCATCAAACACCTTTCATGCATCCAGAATTTTCTTGCAAACAGCCGTAAAAGTTTATCAGATTGTTATCAATGTAGACATCAGAGTCGAAACCATACTTAAAAAGGTTTGCTAGTGAGCCATAGCATGTTTGTAAAGGATTTTGGGAGGAATTAAAGGGGCGGTTTTAGGGGAGTTGTTGGGTGTGGTGGTTTTGAGGGGTTTGGAGGGGGCGGAAGTTGCCAGGCATGGTGGAGTTGTTGGAGTCCGGCGGTGGTTTTAGAGAGAAGGATATGGTTGTTTGTGGAGGAGGAGGAGGAGGAACGGTGGTGTTGGTGGTATGGAGAAGTGTGAGGTGGAGAACGAGAAATATTCCATTATTATTGACATCAGGTTGCTCCGGTGACAGATGGTGGCAGAGGGAGAAGAGAAGTGAGTGGCGAAGGTGATTGGGAAAGAAAGGGGTAGAAGGGGAAGAGACAAATGAGACCTAACACATCGTCCCTTATCAGGTCTAATCCCACCTCCTTAGACCTGATTATCTTATACATCATTTTGATGTATTAACTGATCTTGCTGTATAAACTTATACTATACGATGGTCACCCCAAACAACTGAAAATGTCATAACGTATAGTATAAGTTTATACTATCAGGTCTTATACATCACACCAAACAGGCCCTTAATACATCAAAATTATGTATAACTTAATCCGGCCTGAGGGGGAGGGATAAGGACTGATAAGATATTAGTGTATTAATATCGTTAACCAATGCAATTCTCAAAAATTAA